TATATATATATATGTCGTACCTAGTAGCCAGAACACACTTCCCGGCCTACTATGCAAGGCCAGATTTGCCTAATAAGCCAAGTTTTCCTGAATTAATATATTTTCTCTACTTTTTTTCTTATGAAATGATCAAGCTACCCATTTCATTATGTATGAGGTCAATATTTTTTAATTGGAGTTAAAATTAACGTAGATATATGACCGAACCTAACCAACCCTACCTCACCTAACCTAACCTTTCTTTATAGGTTAGGTTTGGTTAGGTAGCCGAAAAAGTTAGGTTAGGTTAGGTTAGGTAGGTTAGGTAGTCGAAAAACAATTAATTCATGAAAACTTGGCTTATTAGGCAAATCGGGCCTTGCATAGTAGGCTGAGAAGTGCGTTCTGGCTACTAGGTACGACATATATATATATATATATATATATATATATATATATATATATATATATATATATATACAATATTATGAGTATTGTTATTCCTATAAATTCCAGAATATGCAATGGATATGGCCCACCTTTTCCTACCCCATATTCAACTATCTCATCATTGTCTCCAGCTGCATTTTTTGTCTTTCTCAGGTGCGTAGTTAAGGTATGGCGGGTGCAGTACGTGTCTTGGTCAGCACTTGAATGGGCGTCACTTGAATGGGAGTCACTTGCATGGGCGCCACTTGAGGGAGGGTGCCACTTGAAGAGGGTGCCACTTGAAGAGGGTGCCATTTCAAGAGGGTGCTACTTAAAGGGGGTGCCATTTGAAGAGGGTACCACTTAAAAGGGGGTGCCATTCGAAGAGGGTGCCACCTGTAGAGGGTTCCACTCGTAGAGGGTTCCACTTGTAGAGGGTGCCACTTGTAGAGGGTTCCACTCGTAGAGGGTGCCACTTGTAGAGGGTTTCCACTTGTAGAGGGTTCCACTTGTAGAGGGTGCCAATTGTAGAGGGTTCCACTTGTAGAGGGTGCCACTTGTAGAGGGTTCCACTTGTAGAGGGTGCCACTTTTAGAGGGTTCCACTTGTAGAGGGTGCCACTTGTAGAGGGTTCCACTTGTAGAGGGTTCCACTCGTAGAGGGTGCCACTTGTGGAGGGTGCCACTTGAAAGGGAGGCAACTTGAAGGGTACTCAACTTTAAGGGAGACGCAACTTGAAGGGGACGGAATTTGAAGTTGGCACCAACTGAAAGGAGCCCTAATCGAAGGGGGCGCCACTCGCAGGGGAAGCAACTTTCAGGGGACGCAACTAGAAGAGGGGCACTAAATGAAGGGGACGCGACTTGAAGGGGACGCAACTAGAAGGGGACGCAACTTGAAGATGGGCGCAAATTGAAAGGGGCGCCACTTCGATGGGAACTACTTGAAGGGGGGGGGGGCCTGGCCACTTGAACGGGGGCTATTGGAAGTGGGGGGGGGGGGGTCACTTGATGTGGGCGCCACTGAGCAGTTTCTATTAAAGTCAAACAAGACATCCTTGGACAAGGAACGAATAATTTTCATGGGTTGCATGGTCTGATATTGGTTATCATAAGTAAGAAGCCCAAATATGGTAACATTATCATAGGTGAGAGGCCCAAGGATGGTAACATTATCATAGGTGAGAGGCCCAAGGATGGTAACATTATCATAGGTGAGAGGCCCAAGGATGGTCACATTATCATAGGTGAGAGGCCCAAGGATGGTAACATTATCATAGGTGAGAGGCCCAAGGATGGTCACATTATCATAGGTGAGAGGCCCAAGGATGGTAACATTATCATAGGTGAGAGGCCCAAGGATGGTAACATTATCATAGGTGAGAGGCCCAAGGATGGTAACATTATCATAGGTGAGAGGCCCAAGGATGGTAACATTATCATAGGTGAGAGGCCCAAGGATGGTCACATTATCATAGGTGAGAGGCCCAAGGATGGTAACATTGTTAAACCACTATATTGAGTAAAACTAAAGTGTAGGAGCTACAAGTCCACAATCCTCACAGTACCCCTCCTCACCACAGTCCTCACAGCACCCTTCCTCACCACAGTCCTCACAGTACCCTTCCTCACAACAGTCCTCACAGTACCCCTCCTCACAACAGTCCTCACAGTGCACCCCCCTCACCACAGTACTCACAGTACCCCTCCTCACAACAGTCCTCACAGTGCACCCCCCTCACCACAGTACTCACAGTACCCTTCCTCACAACAGTCCTCACAGTACCTCTCCTCACAACAGTCCTCACAGTGCACCCCCCTCACCACAGTACTCACAGTACCCTTCCTCACAACAGTCCTCACAGTACCCCTCCTCACAACAGTCCTCACAGTGCACCCCCCTCACAACAGTACTCACAGTACCCCTCCTCAGTGCCAACTTGTACACATTTCTCCTCACTCAATTTGGGCTAATTGTAGAGCTTTGGTATTGATGAACAACAGCTATATTAAGAAATTTTTAATTGCAGAATGTTGGCCTCAAGTTGATCCAACATGAAAATATCTAAATATCTTGAATTTATTGTTTAGTTTGGAGACGAGAGCGTCATCTCCCCCGACCTGCGCTTCACTACTAAGATAAATCTAACATTCGCAGTTTCCGTAGTCTGCTGTGAGAGATCATTCAGTAAGTTAAACCAATTTTAGAGCCTAAGTGGGTTAAATCATACTCTGTGATCTCTCTCAGCTGAGTGTAGAAATTGAAGAAAATTAAAATCTAAACTATGAACGCACCATAGACCAATTTAAATTGGTGATAGCAAAGAAGGTGCTATCGTAATTTTCCTTAAGTTTCATAATTTATCAATTAACAGATTAACTGGCTTTGCTCATATCTTTGAGCTTATATGATGGGAAAGTTATCTAAAAGTTAGGAGTCAGGTGCTTGGACACGGGCGTAATTGGAGGGCTTGCTACATGAGCTTTTTCCGTATTTTATGGAAAAGATAGCTCCTGCCTAAAGATAGCCGGAATACCTTACACAAATTAGCTGAATTGATTGCAGGAACAAATATCAAGGAATTCGTACAAATTCTAAACATCCTATACACTGACAATGGTCTACCAACATTTACTGTTCCTGAAGAACTCTTCACAACTACAGCCTCAGCCACCGATAGTGCTACGACTTCAGCTACAAATACTACTTCTGCCCCTGACATCATCATCTCTCCAACTGCACTGGCAGATATCCTGTCTGCTGACGCTCACCCTCTGCAACCTGCAACTACTGATCCAGCTCAGCAACCTGCAACTACTGAACCAGCTCAGCAACCTGCAACTACTCCTGAACTACCTTTGCAAGCTGCCACTCCAGACGCTACTCAGCATGATGTCTCAACTGACTCAATGCAAACTCCTCCAATACTAGAAAAAGCTCACTCGTCACCGAACCTCCTCTATTCATCTGCTGATGATTCCAATGCCTCTGTTGATTTCGAAGCTCAATCACCCGAGGAAATGAACCTATCTCCAGTTACACTAGACTTGGTTCGGCAACGAAGGAAAACTGCTTTTCGATCCCCTGAATATAAAAAAATACCAGCAAAATCTACAACCAGCAACTTCAAGAACTTCGAGAGCAGTATCCAGAACGGTCAGCAGTGAACCCCAGTGCTGCAACTGCCATCCTAGTTGAGTGCAACGAGACCATCCTTGATCCAATACTCATCCCTTCTGACCTACAAGACCTAAAAGCTCACAGTGTGCAGCTACGGGAACAGAAGAACAAGAAGAAGATGACGAAATAAGAAGAAGATTCAAGAAAGAAGACACAAGAAAGAAGAAAGAAGACACCACCTGAAGACTGACTGTCTCTACCTTGAATAAAGAAGCACTGCCACTGCCGCCTTTCTGACCCGTCTCCCAGCTTAGCCAGATGATGGGTAGTTTTCAGCATCGACTTAAGACACGCAACTGGGTCAAGCCCTGGAACTTTTCTTTTCAACTTCAGTGTTTCCTCTCACCGACTTCTCTTCAGCCCACTTCAAGGCTCGCCCCATTGGGTATCTTCTCCTATATTATTCGATTCGATTCTACCGCGAAACAAAATATGGGGTCAGCGGCGATCAACAGATTGCGTTAACATCGTCACACATACGTTGTGCAATATGAACGTTAACTCGAAGAAGTGTGGTCATGCACTTAAGTGGTAACATAGGTTGTATGATATAAACTCCAGCGGAGTTTATATCATACAACGGAGAATTCAACTGAACTTGCTCAACATTTTCATATTTTTTTACTTGCTTGTCCTTCTCTTCTCTATAGTAAACGTCTATAACTTGACAATGGAGGGGGCATCATTTAAAGTTAAACAAGTTTACCACTTGACAATGATGGTTGCAGCATTTACAATAAATCAAGTTCACCACTTAACAATATAGGTGATAACATTTGCAGGAAATAAGTTAACTATTTGACCATTGAAGTGGCAGTATTTACAATTAAATATGTTTCCCATTTTATCTCAGTTAAGTGATATAACAAGTGATAAACAACCTTACCAGTTAACAATGAAGGGGAAGTTCTTACATTAAAAAAAGTTTACAATTTGACCATGAAGGTGCCAGTATTTTACTTGACAATAAAGGTTTCACCATTTAGAGTAAAACAAGCTTACCACTTGACAATAGACGTCGCCACATTTAAAGTAAAACAAGTTTACCTCTTGAGAATCGAGGTGGCAGCCTTGAAAGTCAAACAACTTTACCACTTTACAATGAAGGTGGCAGTACTCAGTTAAAATCAAGTTTACTACTTTAAAATGGAGGTGGTAGCATTTAGTTTAAATTAAGTTATCCACTTGAAAACGGAGGTGACAGCAATTACAGTAAGACAAGGTTACTACTTGACCATGGAGGTGACAGTATTTAGAATAAAACAAGGTTATCATTTGACAATGTAAGTGGCAGTATTCAGTGTAAAACAAGCTTACCACTTGACAAATGAGACAGAAGCATTTAAATGAAACTTATACATAATTTACATGGGAACATATATTTTCTCATGGTAAATTTCTTAACTTTACAG